AACGTCGCATAGGCTTTGAAACGTGCATTGGAAACGATTGGGGTCCGGGTAACATTAGCAACCCCGAACCATTGAACACGCAAAACGACAACGGGGCGGGTAACAGTATCGAGCCCGACAAAGACAAGGATTTGGGGGTCGAACGCAACCGGCCCTACGAGACATTCAAAATTTTCAAGCTCCATAACGATCGGCAATCGTATGATATATCTAAAATCGACGGCCCCCAGCCTCATGCTAATCAAGCCTTCGACGTCACAGACGGATGTTTCAATGTGTTGGGGTTCAAACTCATAAAAGCTGCGACCGTGGTTTTGCTCCAACATCTCATCGGAACGAAGCTGAAGGACGAGTGCGAGGGGTGTGAGATTGATCACCCCAGCCAGCTGCAGCATTCCTGCCTGTTTGACCCTCCTAACTACTACTTAGACACGCATTTTGATGAACTTTCGGCCAAACTGTTTAGACCCTATTTTCATGTCATCATCGCTATCGTGCTAAAACGGTGTGGGTTAAAATCTCACCCTCAACGGATTCAAGGAACAGTCGGGACTATTCTGCACGAATTAAAAGACGAGCCATTCATTGGTGTTAAGCTTGAAGAAATCAGAGTTGGACTTCTGGAGAAACCCTGCGACGAAATAGTTCACGACGTCGTCGATCTCTGGGAAGGTCTCGCGATCGTGAATGGACAGTGACCAAATCCACTGGATGACCATGACTGAGGCATTTAGCCGTAAGAGTTTCATCAAATTCAGGTTTAAAGAACATTACAGAAAACAACTAATTTCATTGCTGCGAAAAGTCATCGAGTGCGACAGACAATCGGACGACGATGATAGTGATGATGATGATTATGATGATCTCGACACCAGACGTGTAAGAACTCTCAAGACACAAATGAAATTTATAAGAGGTGCAACTAGTTCATGGGAAAATTTAACAGATATATGCATCAATGGTATGGCGGCACCATGGGTATTGATAAAAGACGCTTTGGACATGATGCTTGAATGTAGCGATGCGTATGCAACCCCCGATTTGTTATGTATGTGTACATATGTAACAGATGTATGCCAACTATTGATTTCAAAACGAAAAGACAATGACGTGGATGACACTACCCAAATTATTGAATTGTTTGTCAATTACATCCTAGACAAACACATGTTGGGCTGTCGCGATTTTCTTTTCTGGCTCGACTATCAGTGACGTCATTATGACTATCCTACTTTTATCACCGTCCATTTTACTTAGACTATGCATGTAACGTCGTTATATCCAATTATTCTATATTTTATTATATCCATTTTGTACTAACCTCATTATATTCAATTTTACTTAGATTTTGTAGTACTAATATTATTCTATTTACTTTGTTTGATTTTTATTATTATATTAATGTCATTTACTTAAATTGTGTATCCTGTAACTTTTTTTAATAAAAGATTGATTCAAACCACATGTACGAGTTATTCTTTTACAGCGATCGAAACGACAGCATGACGGAGCTCATGAAAAAGGCTTATTATACACCCTCCAACCCTGGTTCTTTAGGGGGTAAAAAACGATTAAAAGATGCCGTCTTAAAAGATAGCGGGGTCCATCTAAGCGATAAAAAGGTTTCAGAATGGCTGTCTGGTGAGGATGCTTACACTTTACACAAAACAGCCCCTATAAAATACAAGCGAAATAGAGTAGTTGTGTACGGGGTCGATACGCAGTTCCAGGCCGATCTTGTGGACATGACAGCCTATGCCAAGGATAATGACGACAATAAATATTTGCTGACCTGTATAGATGTGTTTAGTAAATATTCGTGGGTTCGCGTGTTGAAAAATAAGAGTGGTGTAGAGGTTACTAGAGCGTTCGAGTCTATACTCGAAGAGGGGCGTGTGCCGCAGAAATTGCAGACGGATCAGGGAAAGGAATTTTTTAACAAACAATTTCAAGATGTAATGAAAAAGCACGATATTAATCATTTCGCTACCGCTACCGATTTGAAAGCCAGCGTCGTGGAACGATTTAATAGAACGTTAAAAAGTCGAATGTGGAGATTTTTAACGGCTACAAATTCACGACGATACATAGATGTTTTACAAGACATTATGCAGGGGTACAACGTCAGTTATCACCGAAGTATTAAAATGAGACCCGTGGACGTCAACAAACTAAATGAGGGTCATGTGTTTCAAAACTTGTACGGGGATATAAAGAAGACCGAGAGACCCCCATTTAATTTCAAAGTCGGCGACATTGTCAGGATTTCTAAAGTGAGAGGCCCATTCGCCAAAGGTTATGAGCAGAACTACACGGAAGAATTTTTCACCGTATCCGAGCGCATTCCGCGCGAACCACCAGTCTACAGACTCACAGATTACGACGGCGATGCCATCGAGGGAGTTTTTTATGAAAAAGAGATGCAAAAAATAATTGTGAGTAAAAACAAATCTTTTAAGGTGGAAAAGATTTTAGGTCAGAAAAAACAGGGGAAATCTACGCTTGTTTTAGTGAAATGGGTAGGCTGGCCTTCAAAATTCAATAGTTATATAGATAAAAAAACTCTGGTGGACTTACAATCTCCTTAAAACAAGCCAGCGTTTAACGGATGAGATCATACGAGTGAAGGACTACCATGGACGATCAAGGTTTCTACGTCACGCTACCGTGCAATGCATCATCGGCAGTTTACCCCGGAAATCGTATATCCGCCTACACAACCAGGATAGCAAAAGCTATAGAATTGAAAGGACAATGGGAGTTGGGACTAGCCGAAATCGAATATCCTAGAAGCTGGTATAACTTTAACGATGAAGACGGTTATTTTACCCTACACACTGCCCCAGGACCCGCGAATAACGCAACCCCTACAGACAGTGCACCTTTTAAAAAAGACTTATCAGGGTTTTTTGTATCGAGGAAATTACAAATAAGCGGGGGCTACTACGCAAACATTCGTGCAATTATCCGTTTGATAAATCAAGTTCTCGTACCCTCGGCAGTGTTGAATCACGATGAATTAAAAAACAAAGTGTTTCTGGTCGCGAGACCCAACATTTCAGTCAGTTTCCAAGGTAAACTCGCTACTATTTTAGGAATGATACCGGACGATAATCTCGGACGTTCGAACTATCATGAAGCAGCCGATTTTACTACGAGCGTCACTACGTATGCTCCTCATCAAGCCGATATCAACGGTGGGTTCTACACATTGTACGTTTACACCGACATCATTCAATATCAATCGGTCGGTGATTCTTACGTCCCCCTTTTGAGATGCGTACATATATCCGGTAAAAGCAATGACGCAGTCATTGCTAGTTACGACTCCCCCCATTACGTATCGATAAACAAGGATCACATCACCAGCATTACCATAGAGTTGAAGGACGACCAAAACCGCGAAATACCATTTTCTTACGGGAAAGTCATCGTAAAACTACACTTTAAACCCGCGAATCATTCTATTCTTTAAAAATGAGTTATTACTATAACCCTAGAGAGCCCCATACAGCCGACTATGTGGACTATTACCGAAATCAGGCCGGAGGGGGTTTGCCAGGGTATTCCGGCGGATCGGTTATGTATGGAGCAGGACTAGGAGGACTTTTCAGAGGTCTGTTCAGGATGGCCATACCTCTGTTAAAAAGAGGATTTAGCATCGCGAAACCCCATCTAAAATCCGCTGCTAAAAATATAGTATCCGACGTCGTCTCAAACGTATTGACGCGTGCCCATACCAATAATGCTAATGGTCAAGACGGATCAGGGCTGATGGTCATGGCCCGTAAGAGAATGTCTAAACCACCGGGTGTGAGGAGGCGTGGTCAATGCGGTAAGAAGAAGAAGAAAACAACAAGTGGACCAAAGAAGCGACCAGTCACACGCAGAAAGCGTAAGAAGTCTGTTAGTCAAAAATCATCCGTCAAGAGATTCGTAAAAACAAATATTCTAACATGGCGCTACTGCATCGTATGTCGGGAGAATGCATCAAGTCCGAGTTGGACTTATTTACAGTCCCGCTGACACAGACGGTTATTGAGAAAAACAGTTATTTAGAAGTAGCCCCTTTATCCGCCATATCGGACACCGCCCCATTAGAGTTTTTTATCGCGGGGAACGGGGATGATTATGTAGATCTAAATAACACGATGCTCTACCTACGCCTGAAAATCACAAGACCTAATGGAGCAGACATCGTACATCCAGCAAGGGTGGCGTTAATAAATTATCCTGGAGCCACTATATTTTCACAAGTCGACGTGACCCTAGGCGATCGTCTGATATCGCAGAGTTCGAACACCTATCCTTATCGGTGCATCATAGAGAGTCTGATCAACTATAGTAAAGATTCTCTGGAATCTCTTTTCTCCGCCGGACTGTTTTACAAAGACAGTTCTGGTCATATGGATTCTAACGACCCAGTCGGACGTAACGCAGGGCTGACGAAGAGATCGGTCTACACTAGCGAAAGCAAGGTGGTGGAACTGATGGCCCCTATACATAGCGATATATTCTTTCAAGAAAAACTTTTGTTAAACGGTGTAGACATCAAAATACGCCTAATTAGAGCAAAAGATGAATTCTGTCTGATGAGGTGCGATGATGTGGCTTACAAAATAAAAATAGAGTCGGCATCCCTATTTGTCAAGAAAGTCACTGTAGCACCGCCGGTGAGACTGGGACATGCCCAGGCGTTACTCTCGACAACAGCCAAGTATCCCATAGATAGGGTGGTTCTAAAAAATTTCTCCATACCTGAGGGGACGCGTGTTTCAAATCAAGAAAATCTGTTTTTAGGAACCCTACCAAAATCTATCGTCATAGCTCTGGTCGACAATGACGCATTCACCGGTTCCTACGAAAAAAATCCATTTGCATTCAAACATTACGACCTGGAGTTCCTAGCCGTCTATGTCGACGGACAACAATTCCCCGCAAAGCCTCTACAACCTAATTTCGGAGCTGGTTCGGCAGTACGCGAATTTTATCAGCTGGCGATGACGACGGGGAGACATCTTAAAAACCAAGCACTCTCCATAGACAGAGGTGATTTCCTGAACGGATACACACTTTATGCATTTAACCTGACGCCTGATGAAGACTGCGGTCAGCACATATCCCTCATCAAGTCCGGGAATATCAGACTCGAAGCACGATTCAGACAACCACAACCAATACCGTTAATTTATTAATTTACTCGGTATTTGACTCGATTATAGAACTGTCTAACCGTAGACAGGTACTAGTCGATTACTACTGAGATGAATACGCTACAACTCGCCGCTATCATGGATAAAATTACGTGCAGGATTCATTTTCTCGGGGTGCTACCATGCGATCAACTCCCCAAAAAAACGCTGAGGATCTTACCCTCGATGGCGATCATAAACACTCACCCTGCACAGCTGCCGGGAGAGCATTGGGTCGCCGTTTATTTAACCCAAGATGGACCGTCTTGTTTTTTCGATAGCTTCGGCAATCCACCCGACAGCCCCCGCTTTCCAATCAGCATCAATAACTTTCTAACAACCAACGATGTTGATGTGTTACATTCCGGCAGACGTGTCCAGGATTTTTCATCGGATACCTGCGGACAGCATTGTGTGTTTTTTCTCTATCATCTAGCTAGAGGCTATGACTATAACCATGTGATGAAATTATACACTGATGATTCTATTAAAAATGATAAAATGGTGTCCCTATTTGTGAAGAGATTAAGACCGTATGCTTGTAATGATAAAATGTTATCATGCATTCACTGTGTGCAAACGTGTTTGACGTATAAATAAAAAGCTTAAAATCATTATATATTTGTTTATCGTCTTTTATTTAATGTATACATAGAGTAGAAAGATTCGTTAAAATTCCAACCATCGCTTTCGTTTGAGAGTCGGTGATTTAAACACAGTGTCTTTGGACTCTGGAACAGCGTAAGGCGAATATCGTTGTGTTTTTTTATAAGGTCTAACACGGCGAGGGCTTGGGGTGCCGGGTTTACGCTTTAGAGAGTTAATTTTGTGTCTGACCTGCTGATTCGGCACTGTAGAAAATGGGATGTTTAATTCAGCAAACGCTCGTAGAAACTCTGTCCATCCTATAGGTCTCCGATCATCCCTAACCTTTTGAGGGGCCGTAACATTTTTTAACAAATCGACCATGTGCGACCCTCGTACGGTGTTGCCCCTGAACACAAACTCGCCCGATTCGTTCCATGCGCTTAGACCATTAGCTTTAGACATCTTGTCTAATATGTATCTGCTGTTTTTCATGCTTCTCGAAGGGACATTCTTCAGAACTTCATCGATAATATTCTCCCCCACAGCTCTGCCGTCTTCAACGATAGCACCAGCAGCACCCCCCTCTGGTTCATCTTTATGACCGGAATCAGTATTAGGTAACGAAAGCGTTAAAACGCTACTCTCACGATCGCCTTGTTTAACGATGTTCAAAAACCTGGTAAGGGTATTGGTGTAAAGTTTGGCTTTTTCGTACGGATTCAAGTCTGTGTGACGTAGAATATTTCTTATGGCGTCATCCAAACCGTTCTCTACGCTCCGTTGAATGTTCTCGCGGGGGTTTTCACTCTTCATCTTATCCAGTTGATGGTGCGGAACTAAATACATCTTCTCTGCATACTCCATCCTATCGATTCGCTATTAAACTTGTAATAAAGGGTACTGCGACGCTTAGGAGTGGCAGCAGGAACCCACCCTTCTGGTTAAAGACTCGTTTCTTGGCCGTTATGCCGATTTTTTTATCGGCTACAAATTTGATTTCGGCTTTTCTCTTTTTCAACTTTCGATACTGTTGCTTATTGACCGGGATGGTACCGTAGAGGATGTTAAGCGCCACTTCGCACAGCGCTAAAATGAATTCGTCGGACGCCGATTGTAAAATAAGACGTCGCTGTTTAGGACTGGCTTTATGTAACAGTTTTAACACAGGCAAATGTTTACAAAGTCTGGCAGACATGGTGATTTATAGCGTTCTTCTTTTTTTCGGGATATAAACCACTTGACGGTCGGAAAGTAAGCCTGTTCTGAGACGGTACTGCTCCGGAGTTTTCGCTTTATAGTCTATCATTAGGTAGCCGAAAGCCCGATCGACAGCGTCGTGATAACACTCCATAAAGTATTTTGTGTTTCCCGGGTACATTTGACGTCCTAGCATCGCCACTTGATTGACGTCTCGTGGATTTTTAAACAGAATAATATAATTGGCGTTTAAGCTTATGGTTCGGCTGGACTTACCCTGGGCAAATAAATTTTGCACTATGTAGATAGAGCTGAGATTGCGATGGTGACAGTATTGGGTGAAAACACGTTGAAGTTCCACGTTACCGCTAGCTTGATCCATTAAATCATCCACCACGAGCAAGTTTGTCTTGGTGACAGGCAGTAAATCATCATCATTCAGAGTCTGGGGTATTCCTTGCACAAATTTAATGTCGTACAATTGAAGTAAATCATCATACAAAGTCTGCCAACAATCATACAACCAAACAATGTTTTCAATTTTCATGGAAATGATATTCAAACCTTTTTCCAACAAAAGTTTTACAAAATATGACTTTCCAGAGTTGGAAGGCCCACTCACGACACAACTGAAAGGGTATTGAAGTCTGAAATCAAAATCGGAAACATCCTGACCCCCACTATGCATCATCTGATCAGTAGCCATAAGGAAGTGTGGTGAAATCAGACAGAAGCCTACGTTTATTATAGACCACCTTAAACCTTTTAACGACTGATTTGTTGTGCAGTGTGAGAGACTTTTTATTCCTCACAATGTCTTCCGTCTGAGCCAGGATGTATTTGGATCCATCATGCGACGTCACATAGCTGTCAACCAGACCAATCAGGGATTCGAGACAGATAGCTTGGGAATTTTTAGCATTCAGGGTTATCCCCTTAGCCTTCATGCACGATTTACCTTTGACCGTTTCAAAACCATACGATTTGGGCCCGCTCGAGCAAAAGACTGTTATGTGGTCATCATCGTCTAATTCGCTAGTAAGATCCCCCAAATAATCCCCCAACGGAGGCTCCCAGTCCCCATCCCTAGACACAAATACGACGCTGTCTGTGTCAGAGTATAACAGTCGCTCGCCGAGTCTATCCATCAATTCGTACAATTCCAGTCGGGCGTGCGCGGTAGTAAAGGCCCCTACAAAAACATTCACGTCGCGTGCCTTGCAAACATCCTCTTTGGACGGTTTATGCTGGACGAGAGCAACGTCTTCTGAGATGAATGAGAAATACGTCAATGTGTCGGTATTACCAAAAACGATTCTGGTGAAATCTTCGGGGTCGCTCACCAGAGTCGTTTGAGGCAAGTTCTGTCTTAAAGAGAAGCGCCCCCACAAACTATTCATAATTAATTTTGTGATTGCCCTCTGGGCGGCGTTGTACTTAATCTTTTCAGGGTCTAGTTGAATCCCCTCTTTTTCAAAATAGTCGCGAATGTAAGTCTCTTTCTCAGCATCCGTGACAACATTCGACGGGTAGCCCGACGCTTGCTGTTTCAAACGCAAGAATGTTTTTACGTATTCGGCGAACAACGTGTCTGACTGTTGTGGAAAATGCCAAACCTCGTCTATCTTGGCTACCAAAAAGCTCGATAGTCACCCAACAACCGGAGAGGGCTCTTTCCTTATCCGTATGGGTACAGCTCGTGGTCTGGTTTTGCTCGTGAGCACACGCGGCACAAAGGGGAAACATGAGTTTTCCTTGGCATCTGTAAGGGAGAACCGGATGCAGTAATTTGCGGGGAGGGTACACGGTCGCTTTGATAAGGCCGTAATAATTTTCAATCGGTTCAAAATCTTTGAAAATGATGGACCATGGAAAATACAACCCGCGTACTCTAGACCGTGTCGAATACCATCGTGTTCATAGAATCCATCTAAAAAGTACTTACCGATCGATACTTCGCCGTGCTTTAAGGCATGGTGGATGTCTACGTTTCGAGTCTTTTTTATATACTCGAGCCATTCAATTGAACCGCTCGAGTATGCCTTATTCTGATGGACGTACGCTTTGTTATGAGTGAGGGCGAGCGTGTTTCTGGTGAGATAATGTGTTTTGAAGACCCCCATCGAACAGCCGGCGATCGTCGTGAACGAAAAAGGGTCGAGTTGGGTGCAATGCATGAAAGACTCCCTGTATTTCATGCATCCTTCACGTAATAAGACGACGTCGTTAACACCGTACTCGTGCAGTTCTTTCTTGAAGTCAAAGAACTTGCCCTCAACCGTCTGGTACCACTCGCAAAACTTTTGTCTTTCTTTGACCGACATGTTATCGTAATTGTAGAACTTTTTGTCAGGGTATGGCCCGAAATAGTTCTCATTTTCCACCCTGTTGAAAAGGTGGGGGAAGTAACCTTTTTCAGTCGTCGTTAAGTCTAACGCCGCGGGCATTTTGGCAAGAGCCATTGGGAAGAATGAGTAGCTATCGATATATCGCTGGGCATACGCCTCATCGTACATGAAAATTAATTTGCAGCCATGAATTATGACGTCCAACGCTATCCCGGCTTTGCTGAAAAACTCAAGAATTAAAAAGGAGTCAAATCGGGATGAATAATGCGCTATGAAGCAGTAACCATTATATCGCGGTTGTCTGAAGCGATTGATTAGCTTAGCGATACAGTCGGTACCATGAGCGGTAAATTTCTCCCCTTTGAATGTGATGGTGCAAACAAAATTGGCCTCGTGTCTGCCGTTCTCGTAACGTGTTTCAAAATCGTAGAAGATGTATTTCTCACACGATTCCTTAGGCGGTAGGGGTTGTATGAAGCATTGATGCTCACCAACCCCCGTCAGACGCTCTCGACAATGCTCGCATCTGTCCAAGGCACATGTGTGTTTGGTTTTCTTGTCGCCTGGTTTAACGTCATAACGCCTGTTACATAGTTTGCAAAATTTTATAATATTGCAGGCGGGGTGTTCCTTACCGGGAGGTGAGTTTTTTTTATGCATTTCGAAGCAATAGGCAGATTTACAGTAACGCAGACAATCGGGGCAATGTATGATTCTTACAGGGAACGTGTAACAATCCGCGTCGAAACAGATGTTGCAGACATGCTTACATCGATGGTCTCTGCGACAGCTATAACTTTTATAGCAGAATGAGCACACGTATCTAGAACCCATGAATCCCTCCAAATTCAGTATCATGTAATAATGATCTTTGTGGATGTATAGGAAAACCGTTTTTGGGTGGGGTTCGTCAGAATTTTTGAACGTTTCTACGATCATAGCATTAGATCTGTGAAATACAACGATTTTAATGTCTAGCGCACGTTCGAACGATGCTATGTCGTCAAGACCGATTCGATCTTGGATTGAGATGCCGGCGTTGTTTTGGATAGTGATAGCCAGTTTTTCTAACTCGTTCTCGGGTAATTGGGGGCTAAGAAAACGGGCGAGACAGATGGAGAAACACAAATTATTCGAAATATTTGTGGGGCAGAATAAGTTCATCTTTTTTCTTTTAATCACCTCATCAACAGCCAGATCTGTTAGCTTACGTCGACCCCCGCCTTGTCGGTTAAAGACTACAGACGCGTCGATTTCAACGGACTGGTCAGATAGTAGCCGATTGTTACTCTGTAAAACTTTTTCAATTTGATCAAAAACCGAATCTATGTCGTAATTATTACCGCTAGTTAAAATCCCGCTGACGGGTTCTTGGAGACTGGGGGCTGACACTGTAATATTGATTACGGGGGCACTGTGGTCGAATTCTCTAGCAAAATTAACAACCCCTGCGAACATGTCGTGTAAGTAAGTATGATAAGAGGCCAAATCTGTCGAGTTAATATCTCTCAGATTCATAGTCCTTCTCAGCGTTACGCCATTGAAACGAGGTTGTGGTAAAACATGATATCCGTTAACGTCCCCACCGTCGCGAATCAATCTATCGACGTCGGCGCGGCTTAATCGTGGCTGTGTAGTGGAATCAACATTACCTGATGTCGATGCTTGTGATGTATCATTACCGTCAGGGAGCACTGGTGATTGCGATGGTTGGTTGTTTAAAACACCGCCAAATTGCACAACAGGATCGAACAAATTCATATTTGGATTTACAGCTAATTCGAAAAGATCCAAATTAGCGACGGGTTGCGAAGATTCTAAATTAACCAAATAGTCTTCTAAAGAATTCGGAAGCATACTTAGCATTTCGATTTCGTCCGGTGACAGTTCTGTATCGTCTGCGTCAAAGCTTTTAGCACCCTCCATTTTAGATTTCAGACCAAAACATGAAATATAAAAAGCATACACGTAATAGTACAAAATCAGAGTATATGTAAAAAAGTATATAAAAGATAAAAAAAAAAGCATATACGAAATAGTACAAAATCAGTGTATATGTAAAAAGTATTAAA